CGGTTTACGATTCGGGTGTCAATCCAATTTTTGGGTCAGGATTCATGATCCAGTTAAGATCTCGTGGATAAGATTATCTAATCCAGTTTGGTCAAAATCCGGTTTTCAACTTTTGATCAGATCGGATCCATACCAGATAGTTTTTATGTGCACTTCTACTGGATGCTCATGTCAAACCCATTTAAGGTACATCACTAGGATGATAAACCATTGTTCAAATATGAACAGAACATTAACAATATTTTGGAAATACTAAAATTTGAACATTATATCTTTTTATTTTGGATAAACAATTTTATGAATTTTGTTGTCAATAGGGGCGGAGGATGTGTAAGACCAGGAGGGGCTGTGGCCCCCCCTGATATTTGGGCTAGAAATAAGAAATATAACTTCAAAATTTTTAATTATAGGCCTTTTAGTGTCAAAATTGGGTTGTGGCCCCTCCCAATTTCACAAGTGACTTAGTAATCCGATTTCTCCAATTTCTCCAAAGCGACAAGTAAAAATCGATTTTGTCATTCGCATCTTACCCATCGTCGCTACCTCCGTATCTTACCCATCGTCACCACTGCACTCCGCAGCAACTGTCACCGGTCATCGGATGACCGGAAATCAGGTATCTTACCCAATTTCTTCTCATGTTCTTTCTTGTTTATTCTCCTGTTCAGCTGTTGTTCTCCTGTTCGGATTCATCTCCTTTTGGAAATTGGAATTAGAATTTACAAATCTAAATTCTCAATTCCGAAGTTACTTTCTGTTTTTTTAAGTTAGCTGTGAAATTGAGTTGATGATTTGTTTAGCTCTTGAAGATGTCAATTAAGAACCAGACAATAGGACAAGGGAACACGAACATATTTTTTTTTTGATTTATGTCTGCTAAAACTGAAAACAACCCAAGTTTCTTAGATGAGTTATTGTTACAGAACTGAAAACAACCAATTCGAATTTACAAAACCGAAAATCTTTTTGGTTTGGTTATGCTAGTCCGCTTCAAACAAGAACAAGACCCACCACAATGTTGATTGTTAGTTTGTTACAGATTTTAGATGAGTTATTGTTTTCACTTATACTCTATTTTACACATTGTTAAATGAGCTATTGCAGATTTTTGTTATTGTTTCTCTGGAATAAGCTGATGAGTGATTTGTCTAATTTTATGTTTTTATTGAATCAATTGTTCCTTCATTTTGATTTTTATAGATACAATCATGGGAAAAATGAAAACCTTAGGATTATTTTTACAAAAGAAAGGTTGATGATGAAGAAACTCACAATGAAAGTGAAGAAAGTAAATGTCACAAAGCTTTAACAAATGAGTTGTAATTCTTTTTCTAGGTGTTTTTGGTGTTTATTTGTTGAAAACAATTTGGTTTTATTTATTTATTTATTTTGGTAAGAAAGTTAATTTTAGTTTATAATACTTTCGGCCCCCCAAATTAATTGGTCAACCTCCGCCACTGGTTGTCAAATAGATCATAAGATAATCAAAGCCATGTAATTATGTAAACGACCAAAATACCCCTTGATTTCCTTTGTGAAATGGTAATAACCCATTAATTTATGAGATCTCTTAATTTATTGATCAATGAACATTTTTATCAGAATACATCATAAAAGCATTGAATGGTTGGAGGTTTATAAGTTATCTTGATGAGAAAATGACTTAAAAGCCCAACGAAGTTTCCAAACCATTCAAAAAACCTCAATCATGTTTTGTCTGTTCAAAAAAACCCAACAGAACTTAACATTTTGTCTAAAAAGTTCAACAAAGTTCCAAACCGTTGAAAAAAATCCAATTTTGTTTTGTTTAAGTTCGTTGGGTTTTTTTTGAACAGTCAAAACATGATTGGAGTTTTTTAAACGTTTGGAAACTTCGTTGGTCTAACAAATCATTTTCCCGATACGGTAATAAGTCACGTCATTTGTTTCTCTTATTTGACTTATAGAAAAGTGTAACTTAGTTGAGCTTTCTAGACAAAATGTTAAGTTTGTTGGGTTTTTTTGAACAGACAAAACATGATTGGAGTTTTCTGAACGGTTTGAAAACTTTGTTGGGCTCGTAAGTCATTTTCCCTATCTTGTTTATTCTTTGCACAGTATAATCATAATATAACTTGTAAAGGGCACAATGCAAGACAAATTTATGATACGAAATGAGATTTCTAATGGTTATGATTATTTATTTATTTTGAAAAAGACTCATATTGCGAAAAAAATGATAATTGTATTAAAAACGTTCCTTTTTTGTTTCAGGTGGAAACCATACGTGATTACCAATTTTCAATGAACCTTCTGGTGTGCTAATTATAATGGTCCCTTTGGTTACGATTTTACATGTTTAAGTGTTACAATATAGTTCAAAACATGAATCAACCATTTTGATTATCAAATACTTAAATAAAATATGATACCATTTTACTAGTTATAATACTATACTTTCACATATAGCAACATACTTCCGATAAGTGATTTTATTTCATGTTCATGTTAACATCACTTTACTGTGAGTTATATCACCCAATTTATAATTCCAATTTAGGCATAAATTTTCATAATTTATATAAACAACTTCATACACAAATACAATACACATTTATAGATATAGACTTTAACTTCAAACCTTAACTTAAACTTATAAATATATAATAAGTTAATAACTAGGTTAAGATTTTATGAAATTTTACATATTAGTTGTTAAATACATTACCAAATAATGGTATTATACGTGCTTTACATTTATAACAAATTCCCAAATTCATCAAGCCCTAAACACAAATTAGGATAAAATAAAGGTAAATGATGAAATTATATCTTAATATATGACTTATCTCTTTGGAAAGAAGCAATAACCGAAGAAAACTGTATCAACTTCTATATTTTCAGTGTTGGTTCGACGAAAATAAAAAGAGGAATATGTTTAGCGAACATAAAGAGCTGGTCAACAAAGGTCAACATATGGGGGCGATGCGGCTTCCCCACGTGATAAGAAGTCATGGCCACATTACATTGCACGATCATTTTTTAATCAAATCAAGAAAAGCATTCACACAAAAATTTAACATTTCTTATGCATCAGCATTAACAGACACATGCAACTTACACACAATAACCCACACATCCTTCGAACCCAACATTGGTTCTTTTATTTATTTAATTTTTTGCAAAACAACATATCAATAAACATATATATCAATAAACATATGAAAGGCTCAAATTTTGTTAAACATTGCCTTTAAACCAATTTATTGAGTTTGGACCGAATCATGCACAACCCCACATAACATATAACACCACGAAGCCACAAACATTGAGAAACTTTTAACTTCTTCCATCCATTAAAACTATATATATTTTGCATGGTTTATGGTAGCATATATTTTGCATAGTTTTAAGTTTAGCATTTATTTAGCCTATTTAAGTTTCAGGCAATGTACATAAAAGCCACTATACCATGACCATTTTGCGACTTAGCTACTATATTTTATTTCGGTTAACACAATCAAAATAAAATTTCAACTAGGATCCACCATGCCCACCTATTTTAGTATGGCTTATTGTTTATCTACATGACATCATATGTATTTAATGAAAGAACATCACTTCCTAAATTGAATTCTCATTTGCTAGTTTAGGAGGTTATACACATACCATATAGGTAGATAAGAATCATTTTCAGAAAGTTAGATATTATTTTAAAAGTACACATGATGTCAAGTAGGAAGATAGTAAGGTGGACTTGTGGTAGAACTTTGTTGGATAGGATACCAAATGGAATTAGAATGAACTCGTCAATTGAGGGAAGATTGTTTGAGATGGTTTGGACATGTCATAAGGATGTTACCATCTAAGGAGGGTAGAGTCAATTAGGATTGATGGTAAGAGGAAGAGAGGACGTCTGAGAAAGAAATGGGTGGATAGTGTGAGGCTTGATATGGAGAAACTTGCTTTTACCATGAACATGACCTCATATAGGGCGATTTGGAGGTCAAACATTAGGGTTGATGGATAGTCTCTCCACTTTGCATGTCTTTGTTTTTTTTATCTTTATTTGTTGATGATGATTTCCTGTATTTATGTTACTTGTTTGATTATTCATGTATAGTTGCACTGCTCTCTATCACTTACTCCTTGTTGCCCTTTTGTAGGTTTACGCTGTGCACATGTTAGAGGTCATCTTAGTGATAGTGAAACAGTCGTTGTTCTTCTGTCCAGGGAAACCTGACTGTTGATTTTACTACATCGCCCCTACCCCACTCCATTGAGATATGCAGGGTCTGTTTTGTATGATGTCAAGTAAGTATATATGTAGGTATATTAAAACTCATATAACTGATAAGGGTCACCATGGACGTAGGGGGATTTGTTTGAAAATAGAGTAGCTTTCATTGACCGGAATAAAATATACCGGTTAAACCGTAAAAAATGTCAATATATAATGGTTTTTATATTATATTGCTCTCAAGTTTATGAGTAGTTTAGTCATTTTCTTAGATATGTGTTACCCTAGTTGTTTCTTATATATAATTTCCTTTTTTTCTTTCATTGCAAGTTGTAAGTAAGCTTTTCTATGATAGTAAAGCCCTTGTCATGTTTTGGCACCCAATCTTCATGGTACAAGTGCACACATCGATTCACAGTTTTTCAATTTGTTGATTGAAGAAGGTTTCATGTTGAGCACCAGTTTCACTTGTATGCATTTGCCAACTGTTCTCTAGTCTTGTATTTGATTGTTGATTGCATTTTGCATCCATCTCGTATTTGCTATCTACTCTGGCTTGGGGTTTTTATTATTATTGTCAATATGGCTGGTAGCAAACATGATTCTCTCGGGTCAATTAGTACTCAACTAGATGCAAAATATATATATATATATATATATATATATATATATATATATATATATATATATATATATGCTAGCAAACACATCTAGCAACAACCATTTTGTGAAATACAAGCGTAGAATTTGAACTCGAGGCTGTCACATTATCTGTGATTATCATGAGCAAAATTCAAATCAACAAATGGTGTCTCAAATACCATGGGCCAATTCAATAAGAAGAAAACAATTTGTACACGAATAGAGGGATGTTTCCTATGGATATAAAAGAATATTATGTATTTCTATAAAACGGTGGTGATGAATTAAAAAAAAAAAAAAGTATTACCACTAGTTTGAACCAGGTTTGTCTTTGCAGTCAGATGAGACAGAGTCTTGATCAGGGGATGTCTTTGGAGAAGTAGATGGACCCGGGCCGGGCTTTGGGCAATTTTTAAACTGCACCAAAACCATTGTCATGTTGTCACATCCTTCACCACCAGAGGTAGGTGCCAGACACCTGTCGAATACCTTCTCACACACCACCGACAGCTTACTTTCCTGTGTATCAATTTAGTCTTGTTAGGTTTACCATTATCAAGATTCATGAGGGCGTTTTCGTCTTTTTCACGAGAGTCTAATGCTCTCTTCGATAATCATAATGAAAATGGTATTTACGTCTTTTGCAAGGGACGGGACTGGTCAAGCTTTTTAAGGCAAATTTTGATGAAGAGGGCATTTACGTCTTTTGCACAAACATATCAAGAGCAAATCGAATCCTTTTTGGGTGACATCAGTCTAATACATGCCAAACACAATACAAGACTGTCATGTTCTGTTCTGTTTTGTCCTGTGTAATAGAGGGGCCCCACAAGATTGTAGGATCAATAATAAACTGTCAAGTGCGAGGTAGAAATGGACGTACAGTTTTTATTTGCTCGCGTACAAAATCCACTAGTTGTTGGCTTGACATGCAATCCCTGTAAAAAGAGAAAAAAAAATCTCAGCATTCTAGAGTAAATTACAAAAATGGTCATTGTGCTTTCTGATTTTTACTGTGTTTAGTCCAAAGTTAAAATGGGTTTTCAAATTTGGTCCTTATTTCAAGGTTCCAGGGACCAAAACAGAAAAAGGTTTCAATTTTTGAACTAAACACGGTGAAAATTAAAAAACACATGTACCATTTTCGTAATTTATCTTAGATACATCTCCAGTCATATTTAGTTAAAACTGTAATGTCATTCTAGAGTAAATATATAATGACCAAAAGCAAGATTGAAAAACTTACCATATTCCATCACAAGCAATAACAAGAAAATCATCATCCACACAAAGCTCAACCTAATCAAAGGGAATCAACAGGCAACTTATAAAATTCCAGAAAAAATGTAAATAAGGAATATTAGATAAAAAAAAGCATTTAAAATGCTTTTACGCACTATGTTTATATCAGGATTAGCAGTAAGAATTTGTTTTTCAGCAGGCAGTGATTTATCCTTCTTCAGTTCCATGTCCCCTGAACATATGATGAAGTAAGAACCACAAAGACCAATACAGGATACAATCATACAATAACTCTTTTAGGAAATAATTATAAAAAATAAAAATCAGACATATGAAAAGTACCAATAGCCCTAGTTAAGTTTAGAGTCCCATTAACTCGACCACAATGAATAAAACCACCAGCTTTTGATATCCTTTCTTTTTCAGCATCAAGATCAGGCTTATGATCTTTTGACAAATTATATGCCTGTATATAAGATTAAACCCATGCTTATCCACAAGTTCCATGATTCATATATTTAAAAAAAAATACAAATATATATATTAATTACCTGGCCCTTACGAGATATCACACAACGAGAATCACCAGAATTAGCTACAACAAGTTGGTTGTTACGGATGATTGCCACACAAGCAGTGCTACCACATTGTGGCCCTTCATAGTTAGAGTGTGGCCCCTGAATCATTAGAAAAACAATATATATATATATATATATATATATATATATATATATATATATGACCTATAATAGCAACATACTATAAAAACAGTAAAATTTATCTACCATGGTTAAAGATTTTAAGATTATAACATGTTGGTTTTAATGGATTCAGTATTTGAACTTTTAATGTACCTCCTCAACAGGCCAATCATCATGTTGACCTTTTGCTTCACCACTTTTAGGTGAACAAATTGACCCTTCCACCCTCCCACTTAATTGATCTTTTTTGTCTCCCAAAATAGATAACTCTCTCCAGCCACGTTGCCCACACATCATCTCATCCATTCTACATAAAGATGAAAACTTGTTTTCATAAATAGACATGATGTGTAACAGTGTAAGTGTAACAACTATTGTCTATTGATATTACAAAAAATAGGTAACCTGAGGAAAGCTTTTTGGGCAGCAGTTCCAATATCACCACTAGAATAAGCTTCATGTTTCATCAGTTGTTGGTGAAGATACTTTGCACAGAACTTAGAGACTGCCTGACCTGCAAACTACAAGGCTTAGTACAGAAATTTCCCAAAAAAACCAACACATTGATTAGATTCATTATACTACAACTCTGTTAATGTAGTAAAGATGTTATCAAATCAAGAATTATAAAATAAGTATACATGTGTGTTAATGCTTGTAGTCATACCTCCATGGCCATCATAAACACCAAAGAAAGATGTTGAACAGTCCAAATCAAGATAAGCAGCATGCTACCGAACACCTCATACCAAGAAGGCAGACAAAATTCTGAGTGATCCATATGAATAAGCAAATTTGACATTGCTCAAAAATTACAGAATGACATTTGAGTATCCAAAACATTCCATCATCTTAGAGACTTTATGATCTCCAATAGTCCAACATGAAGAATAGTTTTACATAACTAGAACATCATAGTGCATACTAGCTACTTACAGCATCTTCCATTGATGTACGCCATCCCTGCATGGATGACACCCCATATTTTAGGTTATCATTCTCACCATCCTGAGAAAGCTTGTCAGTTTTAGGCGTGCTTAGGTATATTCCCATATCTATCTATCTTCCTGTTGAAGGTTGCAATATCACCAAAAATACGAATAAAAATGAAAATCAGATATGAAACAGAATGCTGAGAGTAGAAAATTTGATCGTATCTTGTCTCAATTAAGAATCAGAAACTAACACAGTCTAAATGCACAGATAAAAGCACATATACTACAGGGACATAAATAACGATTTAAAAATGATTTAAACCAAACGCACAACATCAATTAATACACTCGAATTGGTAAACAAAATCACAGATTCAAACACCTGTCCATTAGAATTTTACGCCTAATCGAAACTGTAAACTGAAACAACCAGATTTCATTTAATACACTCGAATTCTTTTAATTGAATCAACAAATTGTGTAATGAAGACAGTTAACCACATCACACGTCACTCAACATCACTCATTCAACAAACAATAAGAAATCATAAATGCTTTGCATGGTTGACGAAACAATAACCGAACTATACGTAGTCCCAATCACAAATAAAAAAAATTCTTGTAGAAAAAACCCTACCGATAACTGATGGATCAATGATTGAAAAATAAAATTAAAACATTGAGAGACGGATAACGAGCATGATTATATCATGCGAACCGAAAATCAAATCATGATATTAGATTTGAGAACCGTTTCTTCGAACAATGAATGAAAGGTATTGAGAGAGATTTAGAGATAGACTTACGGTTTGCAGAAATTTGGATCATCCGTAGACAGTGTTCCGATGGGCGCCGGTGGTGGTTTGGGGGTGGGGTAGGGGGAGCATTGATAGTTACAAATGTATTTTTATAGTTCGAAAATTTGTTATAATGAAATCGTTGACGCGGCATTAATATGGAATGTATTTGGCCGGGTGGAATGAATGTATTGGGCCTAATTACCTTACTCCAATAAGTGAATAAGTATGTGCATTTTATCCGCTATTTAGAAAGTTATGCCATCGGGGGAAAAAATAAACCTAAAAAAAAAACAAACAAAACCTGAAAAAATATATATATTATGTTCGTTATTTTTTTATTAAAAAATTAGAAAACAAAAATTTTTAAAATTTTTAAAATATTCTGATATTCTACTATATATTACATTATAAATATTCAAATATAATTATATAATATTTTAATATTCTAGTGGAAGTGTTAATATTTTAATAATCTACTAAATTTGTTAGAATATGCTATATATTCTACTACAAATATATATATAAAATTCTGTTAGAATATTTCACATATATTTAAAAAAAATGTATTTTTTTTCTATTTTTTTTAAATGACGAAATTAATATTTTAAAAATTCAAAAATTTTCATTTATTTTGCATTTTAGAATTTCTTTTTGTTTTTTTGATCTTGAAAACGAGTGGATATATAACGTCTCATTTTTCACAACCATGTATTTCATTTTCAGATTAAGTAAGAACATTGTTTCCATAAAACTAAGTTAAGAAAACTATAAGTATCAAAATACAACCATCCCAAAAATCAGAGCATCATAAAATGCAGAATCACAAAAATTACCGATGAGTGTGTACAGTTAAGCATTCGCCTTTACACGATCATCTCAAACTCTTGAAACACATTTAAATCCACAACTGTAACCACGAATCTTAGTGAGTTCCCAAAATATCACATACAACACAGCATAATAAATAACTATGGCTTATCGGCAACCATGGGACTATCAGCAGTCATGTGGTCTCACAACAGCCCTATGGATTATCAGCAACCCTGTGGACTATCAACAATCCTAGATTTATCAGCAACTCAATAAATACACATAAAAACAATCAGCAAATAAGACTCAGTTAGTCGAGCATGGACACCACTATGACATAGGTAATATAGAGAGATCTGATCCAAACGATAGGCCACCTTGCCTACTCGGGCCGAAATCCTGAATGGGCCAATATATCGTGGCCCTAACTTGCCTCTCCTCCGAAACCTGATGACTCCCTTCCATGGCGACACCTTTAGCAATACAAAGTCCCCCACCTGGAACTCAAGATCCGATTGCCGCCGGTCAGCATAGCTTTTCTGACGGCTCTGTGTGACTCGTAGCATATCACGCAACTGCTGAATCAACTCGGTCGTCTTGAGCACCACCTCGGTGCTCCCCATGACTCGGAGCCCTACCTCGCCCCAACAGTCAGGGGTCCTACACCTCCGACCATACAATATCTCGAACGACGGTCGGTCAATACTGGCATGGTAACTATTGTTGTATGAAAACTCTGCCAATGGGAGGTATGTGTCCCAACTCCCTCCAAAATCCAACACGCATGCCCGAATCATATCCTCGAGTGTATAGATCGTCCTCTCACTCTGGCCATCTGTCTAGGGGTGGTATGCCGTGCTAAAATGCAACTGAGTGCCCAGTTCCTCGTGGAACTTCTTCCAGAATCTAGATGTAAATCGAACATCTCTTTTAGAGACTACCGACACTCGCACCCCATGTCTAGCCACCACTTCTCGCACATAAATATCTGCCAACTTCTCAGTGGATATACTCTCAGAAATCGGAATAAAGTGGGCACTCTTCGTCAACCTGTCCATAATCACCCATATGGCGTCCACACCCCTCGCTGTCCTCGGTAACTTCGTGATGAAGTCCATAGTGATCTCTTCCCACTTCCACATGGGAATGGGTAGCGGCTGAACCTTGCCATGAGGTTGCTGATGCTCGGCCTTGACCTTCCTGCAGGTCAAGCACCGCTCCACAAACCAGGCGATCTCCCGCTTCATGCAGGGCCACCAATAGCTCAGTCTCAGGTCTCTATACATTTTCGTAGCCCCCCGGATGTATAGAGAACTTGGACTTGTGTGCCTCCTCCAATATCTTCTGTCTCACTCCTCCAGTCACCAGTACCAACACCCGGTCACACTGTGTCAGGAGACCTCGACTATCCCGAACAAACAAGGGATATTGTCCCCGAATCTGCTCTATCTTCCAATGCTCTTTCTTCACCCCCTCAACCTGAGCCTCTTTGATCATATCCAACAATGGAGAGATCACCGTCATCCTAAAACAAACGTTCCGAATCGGGGAACCCACCGTCTTGCGGCTCAAAGCATCGGCCACCACGTTGGCCTTCCGTGGGTGGTATAAGATCTCACAATCATAGTCCTTCTGCACGTCCAACCACCTCCTCTGCCGCATGTTGAGGTTCTTCTGATCCATCAGATACTTCAAACTCTTGTGATCAGTATAAATCGTGCACCGTACACCATACAAGTAGTGCCTCCAAATCTTGAGGGCAAACACCACTGCCCCCAACTCCAGGTCGTGAGTGGGGTAATTCGCCTCATGGGGCTTCAACTGCCTCGAGGCGTAAGCTATCACATGCCCCATCTGCATCAGTACCGCGCCTAACCCTGAGATCGATGCATCACAGTACACTACCAAATCATCTAACCCCTCAGGTAGTACTAGAATCGGAGCCTCACATAACCTCTGTCTCAGGGTCTCAAAAGCTAACTGCCGATCCGTGCCCCATCGAAATGTCACATTCTTCTTGGTCAAGCGGGTCAAAGGTACATCAAACTTGGAGAAATCATGGATAAATCTCCGATAATAGCCTGCTATTCCCAAGAAGCTACGGATCTCAGATGCGTTCTTCAGTACTTCCCACCCCATCACTGCCTCAACCTTGGCTGGATCAACTGAAATACCCTCTTGGTTGATGATATGCCCCAAAAATTGTACCTCTCGCAGCCAGTAATCACACTTGGAGAACTTGGCATAAAGCCTCTCCGCCCTCAGTGTCTTTAATACCTCCCTTAGATGCTGCTCATGCTGCTCCTTGGTCTTAGAATAGACCAGGATATCATCAATAAAAACGATCACCGACCAATCCAGCATCGGTCTACACACTTTGTTCATGAGATCCATGAATGTTGTCGGGGCATTAGTGAGCCCGAATGGCATCACCACAAACTTATAGTGCCCATATCGAGTCCTGAAAGCTGTCTTCGGTATGTCCTCATCCCGAATCCTCATCTGATGGTATCCCGACCGAAGATCAATCTTGGAAAACCAAGACGCACCCTGCAGCTGATCGAACAAATCATCGATCCTCGGTAACAGATAATGGTTCTTCACTGTTAACTTGGTCAGATCTCGATAATCAATGCACATCCTGTGTGATCCGTCCTTCTTTTTCACAAACATGATCGGAGCTCCCCACGGGGAACTGCTCGGACGGATAAACCCTCGGTTTAGCAGCTCCTGAAGCTGCATAGTGTCACAACTGGTATTTTAGCCAGGAAGTTTTGTGATCATGTAAACGTCATCTATGATAATATTTGTAACGTTAACTCGATATCATGCACCATGTTCATTCTATGACAACAAACTTAGTCAAGAGCCACAATTGTAGTTCAAAACCTAATACAAAAGCATTTCAAATGGTCAACTATGAGTTGAAAGCCCTAGATATCCCGGTTCAAGTTCATTCCGAACTAGAATTCTCTTATTGGGCCTAATGGACCAATAAGCATCCAATTTGACCATCTTGGGCTTAGAACCCTTAAATGGGATCTAGTTGGACCCACATTCATAAAACTTAACATTTTGGGCCATAATGAGCCTAAAATGGATTGGTTTACCTCCATTGAGCCTTGTTGGGCCATACATGAATTAATTAGCCCTAATAGGCCATAAACCCATTCCTTTATACCATATTGGGCCGTGAACACTCACAAGAGCCCAATGGGCCGAAAATCATTACGGGTTCCATAAATTAGAACTAAGCTTAGAATGGGCCCAAACTATCTCATTATTATCCCTCTTAGCCCAAATTCTCGGCCCACTAGATGTGTATATTCATATACATGTAAAAAAAAGAGTAATAAGAGAATCACCATGCATTTGACACATCACAATTGCGTGGTGGTTCTCCATGCAAATTACCCATTAAGCAAAATATAAATGCACATACATCTAAGCACCCATCTTATCTTCACCTCTCTCTTCTCTCTCTCTTTTCTTTCTTCGACCGAGAGCAAGAAACAAACACATACAAACCTTCAAACTCATACTTCAAACACTCTCCAAGAACTCCTCCCTCTCCTCCATATTTTCGCAAGTTTGTGAGTGTCTTCAAGAGATTTTCATTTAAATCATCAATCTTTGGTAAGTCCTTATATATCCAATTACTACAACTTCGTTTTTATGTTAGAACACTCCTTCTAAACAAATGCTTGTGATTATACTCTTAGAAACTTCCTAAGTTCGAAAATCACTCAAGAAAGCATGCTAAAGGCCAAGATCTCTCCATTTCTTCTTCAAAATCGAGAACAACAAGAAAATGTGAGTTCATACCCCCTTGTTTTCGATTTTTACATAGTTTTGGGGGACAATACAAGTGTTTATGTGTAGATCTATGTATTTATGCATGTTATGTGTGATTTTCTTGGTTTATGTTGTGATTTTGTGATAAATCTTGATGAATCTCGAATACTCTAACAAAAATGGGTGAGATTCATAAACTAAAACACTCTAAACATCATACTACAATGATAAAAGTGTTATACATGCCTAAGATGTGAAAAACAAAACAAAAATCTTGTATAAGGATCATTTTTGACAAGTAAACAAAAGATTGGGATAATTTTTACTGCTTACGGTTTTGTAAGGATCAAAAGGGTCACATTTGTATAAAAATGAGTTTTTATAACAACTACACCTTCCAAAGGACCAAAAGTGTAATATTTTGCATTATGGGCCTTAATTTGGGCCTTACGGCCTTTTGGGCCCAAATTGCAAAAATATGAATTTTTATGGACAAAACTGTTATTTGATCA